TGGAATCCGGAGTATCCATACCTCTACCCTTCCCTCGTTTTCCCCTCTTTGGGCCTCCTGGGAGGCCCTCGTCGCCACCGCTGAATTCGCCTCGAGATTCTGGTCAGGACGCACCCCGAGAGGGGTCCGGGGAGTAGCGGTATCGGTACCTTCTGGTTTCCCCGGGAGGAGGTCGGACGGGCCCAGGACGAGGATCAGTCCGTCCAGGGCGTTCCTGAACGCTCTCAGGGCGTTGCGGAACGCTCTGAGGAGAAGGCCGCGGCGCCCGAGGCATGCTCCAGAGCCGCGGGATCTCAGAGATTCTCGATTTAGCTTTGCCCGATCTGATCCTCGTCCTGGCTTCGTCTTCGGAGGGAGGGAAGAGGGGGAGAAGAGTCGGCCACGCGCACAAGGGGGTATGAGGGCCGGGGGGTAGGGCTTCTTGTGAGGCTGCTGCTTAGGAGGCGCGGCCCCTGTCTGTAGATACAGGGCTGGTGCCTTCTACGAGCAGCCTCCTAATGAGCCTTCCCCCTTCCCCCCCACCCCCCTGTGCGCGCCGCGCCGCCGAGGCCAGCACGAGGAGGGAGGAGGGAGGAGAGGGGGGGAAGAGGGACGGGTCGGGGGCGGCAGTGATCTAGGCCGATGGGTCGGAGTAGACGGGGTCGGCGGATGGCGCCGCATCGCCGATGCATCGGTGATGCGGCTCGATGTTGAGTCCAATGCTCTCCACGCCGACGTCGCCAGGAGGGAGGGAAGTGTCACAGGAGGAACAGTTGCCGATTTCGCCTTTTGGGGCCTCCTGGGCTGCCATCGTCGCTGCCGCTGAGTGCGCCGCGAAATTCTGGTCAGAACGCACCCCAGGAGAGGTCTGGGGAGCAGCGGTATCGGTACCACTTGGTCTCGCCAGTTCTTTCCAACTCCAAGCGTACAGTGCCATTTTCAATACATGCTCCGCGTGCGGATCATGCATTAAACATGCAGGGATTTAGTTCTAAAAACAACGATGAGTTCATGCAGAAGTTTACTCATAGATTGACCATGCATTAAAATCTAATATTTTTGAACATCCTATGTATTAAAAACTGCCCTGTACCACTTGGTCTCGCCGGTTCTTTCCAGCTCCAACCGTCTGCGGACAGCGACGCCGCGGATACGGGGCATCTTTCTCGCGCATGCCCCGCGCGCGGAACGCCTCTGTGCAGCCCAGATCGCGAGGGGCAGACATTGACATGTTGAAGTCGGGCCTGCCCCTCTACAGGAGGAATATCCAAAAACAGTTAAAAAGAAAAGGGGGGACGATCTTCGGAGCATTTTTTTGACTACTGTAGAGTTTTTTTGGATTTTCATTTTTCGTCCCAAATTCGCCTCTAGGGGGACATGCCCGACCTGATGATATGTCCGCCGCTCGTGAGTCTGGCGTGGGGCGCCACTCCGGTGCGCTCCCCCCAGCGGCGCAGCGAGGCGGCGACAGCTGCGCGCGTGGCAGCACCCAGGGCGAGGCGGGGTCTTCTGTAGGACTCGGAGGGGGCGAGGACGAGGATTAGTCCCCTCCAGAGCGAGCCAGAACGCTCGCAGAGCGCTCCGGACCGCTCCGGGACGCGGCCGCGGCGCCCGAGGCATCTTCCAGAGCCGCGGGACCGCAGAGCTTCTCGGTTCGGGCCTCGCCCGATGTTCTCCTCGTCCTGGCTTACCAGCCTCGAACTTGTCCCTATCCCTAAGGTTGACACGCCAAGAGGCGATGACAATCTGAGGGATGGGCCCTCAAAAAATATGAAGGGAATCCCTAAGATTGGCATCGTGAGGAGGAGATGCCCAGCATGGGGATAGGGATATGTTCCAGGCTGGTAGCTGGCCTCGTGCTCAGGGCGCCCTCCCACCACTCCGCTGGCACCCTCCTGGGGCGCGGCAGCCGTCCGCCGGGCGGGGCCGAGGCCTGGCACCGCCGGCCCGCGTGCTCCTGCGCGAGGCGTGCGTGGGCCCCCGCAGGGGCGACGCGCGCGCGCGCTCTCTCGGGCAGCTGCTGGCAGGAGCCCCGCGGAGGGGCGCTTCCTGGCCGTGCCGCCCGGGAAACGAATATGCTGGAAGGTCTGTGTGTTGCATGCTCGTGCCGGGAGTGCGCCTCCAGCATCAGCACGCAGTGCCAGTATGGATGGGCCGGTTTTCCTGTCACCAGCACCAGGAGTTGGATGGGGAGGAGGAGGAGGAGGAGGAGGAGGAGGAGGAGGAGGAGGAGGAGGAGGAGGAGGAGGAGGAGGAGGAGGAGGAGGAGCATCGCTGCAGCACTCCAGATGAGTATGCGACGCAGCGGGGTGGGAAGCATGCAGGTGGAGTTTTTTCGCCAAGTTTGAAGCCCAGGCCCCAGCGGGGGTCGAGAGATCCGGGGCCCGCGCACTGAAAGACAGGGCATCGGAGATCTCTGAGTTGCGACACTCAGGAACGTGATGCTGAGGATGGGGATGGGGATGAAGATGAGGACGAGGATGAGGATGATGATGATGAGGATGATGATGAGGATGATGAT